AATGTAAACAAGACAGCACTGTTCTGAAATGGGTGTTTTCCCATTTTTAACAATTTTTTAACATAAAACAAAATTAACAGTTTACTGCCATTTTTATATGATCAACTAAGAAAATTGATGAGATGGGAAAAATATCAATAGAATAGTGTTAAATGTCCAATTTCCTCCATTCTGAGTTTCTGAACATAGTGAATGATTCAATCTGACAAACTGAAATGATATGAGTTTATTTCCATTTTTGAAACTTTATTACACAATGCACGATAACAAGTATACCATCATTTTTACATAGTCAACTAAATATGTTGTAAAGATGCAGGAAATATCAAACAAACACTTTTACATATCTTATTAGTTAAATAATGAGACTGTTAACATGCCTAAGAATTGAATCAAGAGGAAATGTGAAAAAACAGCACAACTTCTAAAATAATGGCCCAATTATGCTGATTTTCTAACTCAACCTGCGTGTTAGTAAGATTGACCACTTCTATGAGTATAATGACAATTAGCCAATCTGTTTTTCTTATATTGTGTTATCAGTGTTGCATATATGTTGAAAAAAGTAAAAAAACAGCATAACTCCCCTAAAAATGGCCCGATCATGCTGATTTTCGAACTTGACCTGCAGATTATGAATATTCATCAGTTTTGTAAGTTTCAAGCCAAAAAGTAAAATGGTTTTCCACTTATCGTGTTATCTGTGCTGCATATATGCTGAAAAAAGTGAAAAAACAGCATAACTTCCCTACAAGTCACCCGATCATGCTGATTTTCGAACTTGACTTGCGTATTATGAATATTCATCAGTTCTGCAGGTTTCAAGCCAAAAGATAAAACGGTTCTTCACTTATCGTGTTATCGGTGAAAGTGCAGGACGGCGACGACGGCGACGACGGCGACGACGACAGACGCAGATGATGGCTATATGTACAGACACATCTGTGTCTGTACATAAAAAGGCATAACTTCACCAGAACTGAACCAATGGAGCTTATTTTCGAACTCCATCTGTATTTATGTAAGACTGATCACCCCTGTAAATTTCAAAACAATTGGCCAATTGATTTTCCTTGAAATGCGTTACCGGTATTGCATACATGCTAAAAAAAGTGAAAAAACAGCATAACTTCCATAAAATTGGTCCAATCAAGCTGATTTTCAAACTTGACCTGTGTATTATGAATAGTCATCAGTTCTGTAAGTTTCAAGCCAAAAGGTAAAACGGTTTTTCACTTATCGTGTTATCAGTGTTGCATATATGCTTAAAAAATGAAAAAAGAGCATAACTTCCATAAAAATGGCCCGATCATGCTGATTTTCGAACTTGACCTGCGTATTATGTATATTCATTAGTTCCATAAGTTTCAAGCCAAAAGGTAAAACGGTTTTTCACTTATCGTGTTATCGGTGTTGCATATATGCTGAAAAAAGTGAAAAAACAGCATAACTTCCATATAGATGGCCATATCATGCTGATTTTCGAACTTGACCTGCATATTTTGAAAGCTCCTCAGTTCTGTAAGTTTCAAGCCAAAAGGTAAAACGGTTTTTCACTTATCATGTTATCGGTGGTCAAAGTGCACGGCGACGACGACAGACGCAGGTGATGGCTATATGTACAGACACATCTGTGTCTGTACATAAAAAGAGGAAAACAATAAGTTGGTGAATCTTTTTCCAAAATTCCTACACACTGGTAAATCAGTGATATACATACTGTAAAAGATTTCTATCCAAAAAACATTTTGTCAGAAAGCATGTCCAGCAATGAATGGAAAGTTTTATATGCTTCATGTTGTTTTGATAAAATGCTCAAACAAAAGTCATGAAAACATCCAAAATAAGCTTAAGTTGAAAATATTTTTCAAGTTTTACAAATCTGTTTTTTTTTTTCAGTATCTCCATTCAAGCAACATTCTGAAACTTCAAATGACTCAGAAAAGAATTTTTTTTCAGAAATATTATGCATTCAAAATCAGTACTTGGACTGTACTTTTGTTTATTTATTGCTGAAATGTTCAGAAATTGCTGTTCTTCTATTTTCTTTGAAAAGTTCACACTGAATAAAAATGAATACTTTTTATGAAGACCGTCCATTTTCTTGTCTTTTTCTTTTCCTTTTTTCTTTCTTTCACCATTGGGTGCAAAGTCTGTTACTGACCCTGGTGCAAGATCTCACTGTTCAGATGCCAGATAATGTGGAGAAGCCAGAGACTGGTGTCTCCAAGTACAGTTCACCCCCTTTTTAATAATAAGTTTAAAATGCATTTGCCTCCCCCCCCCCTCCTCTCTGTGTGGTATAGTTTTAATTATTATATGTTTTCAGAAGACAAATGTAATAATCCGTGGAGAGCCATTCACAGATGTCTATGGCAGTTCTTTACCTTCAGCTGCTGGTACCACCTGTTTTTTTTTTTTTTTTTTCCTTTAATTTTTTTCTGTAAGTTTTCAAAAAAGTTTCCAATTTGATTTAATTTTTTTTTGAAATGTAACTTGAAAATTGTTTTTTAAAAAAATTGACAAAATCAAGGTCTCATTATTACAAATATTATTGCAATAGGGGAAAATGTTCAGTCTTACCACTGAAATTCTCCTACTTCAGATCAGTAAATAATAGGGAAGTGGTGGTCCCAATGGAGACTGGAGAACAGTGACACTTACTTTTATTTACAAGTCCCAGTAAATGCCAGATATGAAATGTTTAAGAGTCAAGAATAACATTTCAAAGAATGGTTTATTTCATATTTTAACAATCTTAACAAAAAAAAAGAAAAAGAAAAGAAAAATAGAAAGATGCTGATCTGTTAAAAGTCTTAGAAATATGAAGGTTAGAACTGTCAATAACAACACACAATGACTGCCAACCTTTTAAAAGATTCCTTTACAGGGAAAGTAAAACAAAATCTTAATACCTGCCTTACAGACAGACATGACAATTGCACTTATCTGATATATTTTTCATCATATCCATGTAATTATCAAGGATTTTACAAATATTTTTCTCCTGCAACCTGATTCAAACTGTCAATACACTTATGTATAATTTACAATGACAAGCTTAAGGGTCAGGCTGGATAAAATCTCTGCCAAAAATGGCCTGCATTATTACAGAAATAAAATATTTGAAGATTAAAATGAGATTATTTCTACAGACCTGCTTAACTGCATGTAGTGTATTAAAATGTTAGAGATATAACAGAGAGTGGCTACAACAATGCTGATGAACAAAGACACAAGCTCAACAATATGCACATCATATGAATGATTGGAAGCCCTCAATTGAAGATTGATTTTATAAATTATCTTTGACCCACATTTGGGCCCAAAATAACAAATAAGGATGCTTTTTTTCGGTTATAAGTCATTTCATAAGTCATTTCAGCTCTGTGGTCATGTTAGCATACTTTCTGTTGCAGATAAACAGCTATTTTTCTAAAACAAATAAATCAAATATGAAGTTTTACACAAACATATGTGTTGAATTGTTTTCAAAATCAGATATCTTGTGAAAATTTAGTACCAATATAAATGTTATGAAAATTATGCTCATAAGACTCACAGGCTTCTAAATCAGCTGTGGGAAGTCCTAAAAGCTGTGACAGTTATTTGCAATAACACATTAGCTGGGAGTAGACACCAAGGGTTTGGAATGTGGACTTTTCTGCATCCTATGGAGAGTAAACAAGTATGCCCCTGTCACCAATAATGTGAGAAAAGTGACAACAATCATGACTGAGAACAGGGCAATCCACATGGTGACTGTGTACGAGCATGGAACAGGGCACTCAACATGAGGCAGCTCAACCAGTTCATCTTCCTGCTCATAATTTGGTTCAACTTTCCTTGTCTGCAAGATAAGAGTGAACTGCATGAAAAAACCATTTAACATAATGATGATCAATTTCAATGTTACACTAAAAATACTGCCTGTATCACTATGGACTGAACAAAGAATCTCTTAAAATTAAAATCATAAATATATATTTCATTTAAAATGTGGAGCAAACTACACAATTTAAAATGAATTTATAATCAAACTTGCCACTAAATCAAATTAAACCCCTTGCCTTATTCAGAATCAAATTATAAATCTCAGCCAGATCCTCTTTGCTTAGCGTAGTTCCAGCAAAATCCATTCCATCCAGTGTCTTGTTCACAATTTCGTGGTCAAACTCAGCATATTTGTCACTCTGCTCCTTGTGGTTCTGCTTCCACCTAGACACATGGACGTTGATGGCAGCAAAGTCCTCTATGGCCTTGGACAGAGTCTGAGCAAAGTATTCTGTGCTTTGCTGCCAGCAAGGTACAAGATCAGGATCAGTGAGAACGGAGCATGCTCGTCTGGAAATTAATATGACAGATGTATATTATGACTGCATGACAATAATACTAGTACGTGTGCTTGACTTCACCATGTAACCAGCTTATTCTACACAGAAAACTCAATGGTGCTTTTCGATGAATGGCTGAGCTTACTCTAGGATACAAATCCCTTAAATCAAAACAGATGGCTCACTTGAGCCAAATCAAAAATTAAACTTTTATCAAAAATATATACTGCTTAACACTGCAAAATATTTGCCATTTTCTTTACCTGATAAGTGATTAGATTAAATGTTAGTCATATTACTGGAGGACTTTTAATGAAGTACAAGTCCTTGTATTACTATAGTTTCCTGTTCCTGAGTGGCCCCAGACAGGACAAAATTGATTAAATCACAGCTCAGATTCATCAAAGTAAGTCAAGTTGCGTCACACATCACACAGGGGTAGATCCAGGATAATTTGAAGGAAGGGTCCCCTTTTTTTTTTCGAAATGACAGCCCTTGGATGCAAAGCCAACCCTAAGCCCCCCTTGACTAATAGGCCACAAAAATTTGGGTGTTTTGGAGGGTGTGCAGTGGTATTTGGTACAGTTTAGAACTATGATTCAGCTAGTCAAAATTCTAAATTCAAGAGGGGACTATTGGTGTGATTTTTTTTTTCAGATACCAAAGAGGAGGGGGGCAGGACCCCACTGACACCCCCCCTTAATCCACCACTGACATACATAGGCCATTCTGAGCTCATTCACAACAGATGATCATAGGCTGCATTCACATCGAGAGGAGCCGAGGCTCTACAAAGTCGAGAACTAAATATGGCAGACGTACATGGAGGGAAAACCGCCTAATCCTTTAATGGTCTCTCTGCCTCTCACACACCTCCCACGCCTCCCCACGGTACAGTCATTAAATCTCGGCTCCATTGGGACAACGCGTGGGGAGGTGTGTGAGAGGCAGAGAGACCATTAAAGGATTAGACAGTTTTCCTTTCATGTACGTCCTCCATATTTAGTTCTTAGCTTTTTAGAGCCTCGGGTCTGCTCGATGTGAATGCAGCCTTACTGATCCACGAACTAAATATGGCAGACCCAACATAAAAGGAAGCCACTTAATCCACGATGGTCTTCCCTCCTCCGCATGCGCCATTAATTATTTAAACTGAATAAACATGGCTCCAAGATTTAATTCCTTGGTCCCTGCAGGTATGACACATGTAGAGGCAGGGAGACCATCTGGGGATTCTAAGGGGCTACCTTTTAAATGGGGTTAGCCACATTTAGTCCACAGATCAGCAAGTCCATGGATTATCTGTTCTGAATGTGCTCTTTATATATATATATAAAGTGTATCTAAGCACATGCCATGTCAGTTGTTTATTATTTCTTACAGGAAAAGAAGTCCTTGGCAGAGGTTTGTGCTCTCTGAGTGCTTTTCTAGTTATATTGTTCATTGTTGTATTCTACTTTTGTATTTGAATTTTGTTTAACCCTGGGCTTCTAAATAGCTGAAAAGAGCTTAAAATCTGCTTCTCAAAAAGATACAGGCTTGTAATTAGACAAAATAGCATAAAATTTATTCTTTTATATTCACTGGGCCACCAAATCTTAATCCCCAGTCTATCCACCACATGCAGGCATTCAATTTGGGTCTTACTCATGAAAACACAATGTCAGTCCTTATTCAAACAATAGATTCCGTACATAGACAATAAACACATTCATGTATGGCCAGCACAATTTCAGTCTAAGTCAATATAACTCCCGTTTTATAAACATGAACTGTAACAACAGCTGCTTAAAGTGGGAGAGCATATTAAGTTTCTATTTTGACTGTAGGAAATAGTGGTTTAAATTTGGTGGATTTTCATATAATCTAGCTCACTTGCCATTTAATACAGGTGAGCAAGGAAGTAGATGAAAAAGGTAAGTGTCGTGCACATTAATTTAAAAATGCATGGCTACAAGAATAAGAATCAAATCAGACTGGTTTTTCCATTGTAGCTGTGTTTTAGTCCTAACAATCATTCTCGTTTTGAGGAGAAGTAATGCAATTTTCTTCTTGTAAGTCTTGTGGTGGCAGTGCAATATTACATTATGCTTAACAGTGGAATCACCACTTATTTTAATGATGTGTAACAGTGTTACAGGTAACTTACTGACATTGGTTTCGTTTTTTGCTTGTAGGTATAAAACTGTGCTATCAAAGTCATATTCGTCTTCACTTCTTAAAAGCCCTTGTTTGCCACAGATGTCAATGATTATGTCTTGTTTCAAATAATCCAGCACATTTATATTTGTCAAATGGCATCAAGTTTTCTCCTCCAAATGCCGTTAACACAATAGGAAAGCACTTTTTAGGTGCTTGTGATTGCTTTCTATTCATTTGAAGCCATTACAAAATTTGAAAATTCCATGGCAAATGCAGTATCGTCCCTGTCAACAATGTCATTACCGATTTTTTGCATAAAGGTGAGAAATAAGGGTATGTTTCAAATTTCCCAGAATAATGTACAATAAGATTTGCCCTAAAAAGCAGGTGGCTGCTGAGTAATGCATTGCATAAGTTTAGCCTTTTGTACACTAATGTTGTTACCTAAAAGTCAAAATTTTAAGGTTACTGCTTCATGTCATACTCTGGGCTCATTGCCTGTTATTACACCATAGAGCCTGACAGCATCTGACCTAGAAAGTGCCCTTGGTCCTGAGCCCTCTACCCGGATGCACTCAATTTTACAGGCGGCCTCATTTAATCAATGATAATGTATTCACTTGTCTAGAAAACACCTAAGAACTGTACATTTTTAGAAAGCCAAGAATGTAAGCTTTAAAGTTATGTCAGTTTTATTCACATTTGTTTAACTTAGGTAGAAATAGCAGGAGTTTAAATATGAGACTTGCTTTTCTCGAAGAGAAATAAAAAACAAAACTTTAATTTCAGCATGCACATTCTTTTTCACTTTACCTAATAATTTGTTGAAATTTTTTCATAAACATCCTAAATATGTTTTAAAAAATGTCAGAAAATTTCAGAAAGATATCTTATTTAGTTTTTGAGTTATAATAAATTTCCTGGGATGCGTGCTGTACCTAAAAACCTGCATCTCTTCAGAGAGTTGCACAATATACCGGCAGGCTAGCTGACTAGAAGACTTCCACCTAATTACTTTTATTATTACAAATAGACTGGAAATTAAGTGCCTTTTTCGATAGTTTTTCATAGTTTTTTTAATCAACTGAACCAGGATAGTCATAAAATTTTGTTTTGCACTCAAATCATATACAAGAATACAAACATTGTCATGAGCAAATATTACACTTTCATGAATAAAAATTGCATCATAAAAATACAAGTAAACATGGCATTTGTACTAATACACAAGCAGGAAAAGATATGTTGATACAGCGCACTAGTAAACATATGACATTTGTATTTATGCACAAGCAGGAAAAGACACGTTGATGCAGCACACAAGGCAACATATAGCCTGACTTGCTAAATAAAATTCCCTGACTTTTAACTAACCAAATCCTGTTTTTCGCTGACCAATACCACCTTATTTTCAACCTCTACCTCCATTACAACCACCCAATCCAACCAAAACTATAATTTTTTTCACCAATTTAATTTTTACTATGACTTACACAGATAACAATCATTCAAATGTTAAACTTTATCATTGTATCAATTTGTTATTCCATATTGCAAACAAATTTTATCACTCTGTATACTTTACAAACATATAACTATGCTTGTAAATATCTAAGGGCGTATTCCCATAGATTTTAGATCGATCTATCCCCGCGGGGAGTCTCACTAGATTACTGTCACATAATCCAGCTTAAATGTCCGTCCCACCTACTACAAGCTGTAAGAGGGTAATTAACTTTCGTGTCCGCTCGGCTGACAGCTATTTAGCGTGAACCCCAGGAGTTAGTTCGATCTAAATTAGATCGATCTAATCTCTGGGAATGGGGTCAAAAAATCAAATTTTAAATTGGGTGTTCATGCCTAGCTCCTCTACTTCTGATGTGGTAAATTTCAAGTTTCTATGACATTATTTAGGGGATGAAAATCAAGTGGGGCAACTTTTGATTCATTTTTAAAGTGGCATCTGAAAAAATGACAGACATGGCATCACTAAAAGTGTAAAAACTTACGATCTAAATGAGATTTAAAAATATCAAGTCCCTAGCCAAATTAGCAAAAGTCTTGTGTGGTCCCTACAGTACCTAGAATTTTATTGCCCCCCCCCCCCCCCCCGACTTTTCTGAATTCAGTTTTTCCTTGACCAAAACGTCAATTTCCCTGACAATTCGCAGGCCTTGAAAAAATCATTTTCTCTGGCTTTTCAAGTAAGGTGGCAACTCTGATTGTAATAATGATCTATTAACACATACTGTATTTTAATGGTATTTTATTTTAACATTTTAAACTGGGTTTTAGAAAAATAAGCCAAATAATGTTACTGGTAATTTCATACATACAAAAACCAAAAGCAAAACCTGCTTACGTGCATTCCGCTGCAGTGGCAACAGCAACATAGCCACAGAGAAACAACCCTGCTAACAACTTCATGCTCCACGATTTCACCTGCACTCACATCTGCAGGAAGCTAGAGTAAACATCCGGTTAAAGAATCATCTAATAATGTGATCAAGTCGGAACGGATAACAGTGACATTGGTTATTAAAGACAGTAATAATAGAACAGTTTACTTGTATTAAGACCAAAGAACAGATTTACATGTGTAACTTGTGTAAATGTAATATTTTTGTTTCTTCAGGCACTGCGATAATTCTAATTATAAAAGTCCATTCCCACAAAGCGATTACGTCCAGTAACAAGATCAAAATGTCTTCAAAACTGAGGAGATACATGGGTTTCGGCTCAAAAAGAAATCATGGCGGGTAAGGAAGGAGATTTTTATATTCGAATATTTATTCTTATCCAATTATGAATCACAAGTTACTTTTTTTCAAAATGAATCAACTAATACTTAAGTTATGAAACTGAAAAAATGCCATAAGTGTTACTTCTGCCCTGCCATGCAGTGCTGTGGTCTAGTGCTTTGAATGTTATGAAACTGTATGAAACTATTGATGTCGTTGTGATGTTCAACGCTGACGGACTCTTTCATTATTTCCCTGTACACTTCCACATCAGTAATCTGAACTTTACTATACGAGTCCATTAAAAAAATACTTGCTGTTTGAAAAAAGTTGGACCTTACATATGGGTGTCTCCTTTGCTAAATATGTCAGAATGAACGCAGTAAGGCCCCCACCCGCTGCCCCAACTTACTGAGGTTTAAAGAAAGTACCTCATTTATACAAAACGTGAAAACAAGGTTTTCATCAGTGATGTATGATTAGGGAATAATATACAGATTTAGAACTGGCAAACAAATCTGAATTCTATTGTTAAATGTTGCTCTCTAGATCAATGTCCAAGTCAAAGTATAATAGATATGGTCATGGTCGGTAAGTACTTATATAGATAGTAAACCTTTTCTTTCAGTCTTTCTTTCTTTTATAGAAATCAGCCTCTCTGAAATAACAAACTTTTACATTAAATTGTGATATCTAGGAATGAAAGTGAATTAGATACTAGGTGATAAAAAAGGGTTCGATCTTGTTTGTCTTGAGTTTTACTATGCAGGTAGGACAATATAAGCTTGTTTTCTTTGTGTTTTGCAGTTTTTAGAATTAAACAATACATATAATCTAGCTCTACCAGTACTTAGCATTGAATCTTTAAAGAATATTTCCTTTTGTGCTTACCTTGAAAGGTTTTTTTCATTGCCTTTTTGATAATCAAGTTGGTTTAGTATTAGTACTTGTTTCAGGTTAATCTGATTTTGCGTTGATAAAAAAATCAATTGATAAAACAATGTACATATATAAAAAGAGTATTTGAATGTTTGAGTATTCAAAATTTATTTTTACATGCAGTGTAGCTATTAGTAAATAAAATACAGCAACTATCTTCATTATAAGTTGAAATAATGAATATTTTATGAGGCTTTATATTTCTGTTTTGGTGCTATTTCCTAGTTGCTACGACATTCATTTATGACTTATTTACATGTATAGGAGGCCAGTGGAAAATGTCCGTTGCCAGAAGTGCATGGAGAGAGGCCATTACACATATGAATGCACCTCCAAAAGAAAGTATACTTACCGTCCAAGCAGAACCAAAGAGCTGAAAAAACAAGAGAAACTGGCTATGTTGTATGTAGAGTCTACATTTGATTCTTACGAACAAACATTTATACTAGTAGTAGTAATTTGAAATAATAGACGAAAACCAATTAGCAATTTACTATTAATGAAAAATCTGCAAATTAAAACAGATTTCATTAAAGGAACATTTGAACCGAGCATTGGTGGAATGTGGATTCCCAGAAAGGCATATAAACCCTTCTACTAGTTTCTTATTCGACTTGAATTAAGTTGATGAGCCACGGGATAAACAGAATTAATCACTTGGTCAACCATAAAGGAGCTTTAAACTGCACCTTCTTCAAATTTTTGGTTATTAATTTGACTTATTTATCTAACTCGTTTATATACATCAGAGAAAACAAGCATAGAATATTGTTAAAATATCATTTTGGGGAAATACGACATGATATCTTTTGGTATTTCTCTAAGTTATATTATTTGATACAGTATGGTGGCATTTAGTTGGCTTTTGTAGCAAAAAAAATAGTCCTCAAATGCATCTTTAATAGGGAGAAAAATCAGTACTTATAATAGCATCTTGTAATCTCTGTCTTAAAAATTTAAATTTTTTAAAGTTTATTTTAGTAAATTTAATTTTATTATGTTTATTTTTCTTCTAAACAATAGTATTTCTTCAATTTCAGAGCTGGTGGAGCTGCAGTAGCTACCATGGCAACAAAAGAAAAGAAGAAGAAAAAGAAGGGAAGGTAAGGATGTAGCTTCTTTTCTAGGCTTTGTAGTTTGTATAGTAGGTATTTGAGCTTAAAATTTAGAAGTGATGGCCTAATGTTTGTTTATGCAATGTAAATTTCATTTGATGTAAATTTGTATTTTTATATTCCATTGCTTATTTTTTCTGTCTTAGTGAAGATAGATCTGTATATTAGCTTCAAACTTTCCCTGTGCTCCATGGGTATATTTCCATTGTATTTCATTTTGACAAATTGCCAAAATACTTGTGATTTTTTTCAATTAACTTTTTGAATACTTAATAGCCAGTGAAAAAAATATTAATGCCAGAGTTGGCATTATTTAATAACCATCATTTAGAGTGAAACAATTATGTGAGTCTTTCTTGCAGTGAATCTGATTCAAGTGAGTCCAGCTCAAGCTCCTCTGACTCTGAAGACAGTGAAGACAGTGATTCTTCCTCCAGCTCCTCCTCTTCAAGTTCTTCCTCCTCATTATCCGAAGATGAGAAAAAGAAGTCTAAGAGACCACACACAGCCCCTGCAGGTGGAAGACAACACACAATGGACATGGGCTCCTCACCTTCTTCACCATCTTCCTCATCATCATCTTCATTTGAGGACTCTAGCAGTGATTCAGAACATGAAAAGAAGAGCAAGAAAAAGAAAAGAAAGATGTCAGCATAATAATGGTGACCCAGGAACTCTGTCTTGTCTATTCCAATGTCAGGCTGTGTTATGAGTTATAAATCTGTGATGCTTTTCACATCAGTAAAGGTTTTTTCAAATTTTTGCTTCTTCACTCACTGTTGATGTGGTTCCACAACAAGTGCTTTTCACACTTTGTGTTAAAGTGCGGCTTACCCATGTGCCATTGACTTTTACTTAAAGAGAAAAAGATCTAACTGTGGCGATTTTTAACATTTTGAAGGTTTTTTGGAACAAGATTTTTAGAGCAGGATTCATTCCATGCCCATTTTACTTGTACAGTTATTTAAGAGAAATCTACAAATGCCTCACAGGCTAAGAAAAACATAATTAACTGGTAAATCAGTTGATAATACTGTATTGTTTATGTTATTAAAGAGCACAATTTGAAATATGTCACTTTGAGTTTGCTGTTTAATAAGTGGCACATTTCAAAGCACAATATAAAGATGTTGTAAAGTATTATGTTTATTCACAGGGTGTCTTCTTTGGATGAGAAATAGAACATCTCTAACAAGGGTGCGTGTATCAGAGAAAGGGGGGTGCGTTGGAGAAAGAAATATTTGCTCACTATCATTGTGCATGTATATCTTTGTACAAAGTACAGTTCTACAAAATTATGATATTTTACACTATTTGATTTAATAAATGTGTACTGTGCAAGCTGAAACAAGACTTGCTTGAGGACGAAATCTTTTAATGAAGAGCTCTACAGCGTAAGTTTGATTTTCAAAACTGTATTTTTCATTTTATTCATAACTGAGCAGAGCTGCTTCAAATTACCGTTTTTACCAAGAAAGATGACAATCATCATGTTGTATAAGATGAAATCTGTACACACTGTAAATTTATTAGTGACAAATAAAGAGCATTGCAACCAAGAATCTTGGTGAGTCTGGTCTGTTGTGTACGTACATAAGTCACTTTGTAAAAACGAAAGCTCATTTCAATATCAAAATAAAGTTGCTATCAATTGACTTATATTTCCCGCCATTATAGTAAATAGACCCAAAGCAAATGCCAATAATTAAATATGCGTTTTGTAAATGCTGGTATCAACTCAATTGATTTTTAAACGAATACTTGAATAGAAGGGAAGACTTTGTACATTGTAGCTCATTTGCCATGCACTTTGTTTTTAAATTGTGGCTTGATGTGGTATTTGCTACAAAACTACAGAGACACTACTTCACTGCCGCATAACCTACATACATACATCTCCTACCTCATTAATTGACTGATGATCAAGTCACATCTATCGGCAATGTTTTACGTCACCTATCTAACAATAATGCGCACGTTAAATGCTGTCGCATCGGAACATTATTTGAGAATGCAGTAGCATCCGCTATTTAACATTCATAAAAAACCCCCGAAATTATACCATGTTATAAAGGTATGGGGAATATTGTTACATTGTGGAGATATTGATAATTGCACATGTTAATCGATTCGCCAACTCCCATTAAACAGCTAAGAAACCCTAGTTGCAAGTGATCTTTTAATAGTCAGTTGTTTAGCTGTATTACAGGGCATTATCCACGTGAGAGCTGGCAATGCCTGTTCTCGCGGGAGCTGTCCTTGCTCGTTCTATATCCGAACACCAAATTTGCAGGGATTCTATGTGCTCACCCAGCGACCCAATGCTGGCATCGTCTTTCATTATAGCATCGTATGTTTGCTTTCTATATAACGGCGAGAGTCGCAGGAGAATGTTTTTTATGTTTTCAAAATGCTTCAGGAAGTCTGCCTGGCTGAGTGGGGAGGCACCGTTGGCGTAAGCGTGCATGATGTCTCTGTGCGTTTTCATGCGAGATAGCAAAGCGCGAACAGCTGCATCGCGAGGAGTAGGGCGTATCCAGGCCTTTGCTTTTTTGTTCAGTGACGTTATGTTCAACAACAATTTTACAGCGGTTGCAATGTCTATCTTCTCCAAGGAAATACCTGGGCAAGGTTTTCCATTCGGATACAATTGCTCCTTCAGAGACAAGTTGAAATATGTCCGAG